CGTATAAAATATTCTATTTTGCCAATAAATACGTTTAGAAATATATGCCCGTTAATAAATAATACAATCGTGCATCGTCGATAAGCTTTTCGAGCGTTTTCATTTGCTTATAAAACAGAACATTTCCAGAAAAAGGGCACATTGTGGGTCAAGTTTATAAAAAGTTTAGAAAAACGTTATCGGTACACCGAGACACAATGACATGGATTTGAGCAACGTATATAACTCTTATCGCGTCGAACAGATGTGACGGAACTAAGAAAATGGACTCCGGGAGAGAATTAACTGCCCTCTACGCGTTTCCCGAAGGGCGAGGAGAGCGAGAAGCGTGGCTGCCTCTCGCCGGGCACAACGACAGGTCCGTAATTCTCTTTGACCCTGCTAACCTTGAGTCGAGCGCGACGACACGTCGCATAAATGCGCGAACGCAAAAAAACGGGGGAATGTCCATAAACAAGAGACGATACTAAATATCCCGCGGCAACCGTCGTGCGCGACGGGGCCGGGCGTTTCTGTTAAAGCTCAACGGCGCGATCGACGAGAAGTCCTCGACAAGTCCCGACAATTCGTCCGATTCGCCCGATCGTATTTAATCTGCCGTCGTGTCGTCGCGGAACGAATACATTTAAATAATCAACGGAAATAGGTTCGTGCCCCCCTGCGATAAATATTTCAACACTCGGTCGTCACGATGATTCCTGGTGTGCGGAAAGCAACACGCGGAGGTTTCTCGCACGAGTCAAGAATCCTCGAGGCCGAAGCGACGCGCAATTCGCGCCCGAGTGGCGAAATCCGTCGCCGGCCGCGCGGAGGGGGAGGAGGAGAAAAATTTCTAACGGGGAAAGAGGACGTGCTCCTCCGTGGAAGCAGCCCCGGGTGGGCCGAAGCTGCGAGCGAGACCTGGGCGCGCGTCTATCCGAGACTCGCGAGCTCCACGTGATCGCCGGCGAGACGAGCCAGCTTCCCTCCGGCCGGTCTCGGACGCGGGATTTCGCCGGGGTTCTCTCGCGGCTGAGGCAACGAAAACGCCGGGGCGACGGCGGCGACGGGCGGGAGGGCGGGCGCGCGCGCGAAAGCGCGGCGCGCCCGCGGCGCGATTACTCGTCTAGCACTCACCGTGCGCGGCGGGCGTGATATTCCTCGTCGGGTCCGCAAGAAGGCACAGGCCGCAAACCGTCAGGATCAACTCCGCAATCAACGGACACTTCACTCGCCGAGACGCCGGGTCACTGCGTTCGTCCTGGCCGCTCGTCACTGCGCTTGTGCGTCTCCGTCTCCCCCGGCAGGTTAGGCGCGCTGCGCCGCGCTCGCCGCGTCGCACCGGCGGCGCCATCCGGCGCCGGCGCGGCGAACGAGAGCGGCGGGCTCCCCCGAAAGCGCGCGAAGGTTCGAAACGCGCGACGTTCGGTCGCCCGACAATTCTCGAGCGGTGGACACGAAACTCGATAATTGCTGCGCTTTCTAAATTGAACTGCGTCTAGGAGCACTTCCAAACATCCGTCCTGAATGTATTTGCATCTCCATAATCGCCGGATATAACAAGGATTTAAGAATAATGAGGTAAAACAATTATACATATAACAAAATTTATTATTAATGAATAAAGTTACGGCTTTTATATATAATAATCTTTATTCTTTTCCCTTTAGGGTTACAATCTTATTGTATATTATCCACTTATTCTAAAAAAAAACTTAGTCTAAACCTAAATCTACGAGTTACGGCTTTTATATTATAGGTATTAGAATAGTAATAATATTAATATAACATGAAGTGTCAAGTAATCCAAGAATTATAATAAAATTAGTTACTATAATGAAATTAATCTCTGGTAACACAATGTATTAATTGGCCAACATTTCCCAATGGAAAATATTGGCTACGAAATATATGTAAACATACACAATAATAATATAATATTATATTTATAGTGGAAGTGCATTGACTAATATTTAGTAGCAATATAAAATGAATATTCGTGTAATATTAGCTTAATAATAATACAATTAGACCAATGGATTGCTGGATAGATATATTGGCTGACTAAAGGGAGATATTCATCTTACAATCTAAAATTAATTTTGCGAGAATTAAATTTACGTTATTTCCTAATATTGAGCCAATATATTATGTTACTGGAGATAAATATCGCAGGATTAAAGACATAAACGATATAAATACTAAACACGTAATGATAAGAAGTTAATAGATAGTAATATAAGATAGTGATATCTAGTCAGAAATGAATAAAAATAATATAATAAATAAATGAACATTTAAGACTGAAACGCATACGAGTAAAAATTATGATATTATGTTTCATACTATATGTTGTTACTGTTAAATATGTTATGAAAAGATGTGCGCAGAAACTGCAAGTTTTTCAAAATCGCAAGGCAACGTTTAGATACGTAAAATTGCAATGACGAGTATGTGTACGCATATGATTAGAAATATATAAGAGTCGGGAATAAATGGCTCGCGCGGAGCGCCTGCGTAAACTTGTGAATATAAAAATTGATAATGCTCCATTTGATCTCGAATTTGAGACGACCGTGTTTGTATCTTGCGTTGAATTTTTGAAATTAATTGCCCGTTAGTTACGTATGTTCGCTGTTGTAGTTCATGGAGCATCTGAAATAAAATATGTATTTCAACATTTAATTAATAACATTTAATAAATATTAATAACTAACTTATCATTATTCCGCAGTAAAGGTGGAATACATCGTATTAATACAGGTTTTTTACTTTCCATATAGCACAAACCATTAAGGGCCTCTCTTGCCCAGCGAGAAGTAAGTTAAGTTTTGGAGCTTTATTGTTAAATGACTACGTTCAATGCTCTGAATACTTTTAACGTTTTATGGGAGAGAACTGCCAAGTTAACTTATTTAATACAAAATTTAATACAAAAAATGAAGTCCCAAAACGTTTAATTATTTTCGAAAACTGACAATTGGGTTTCGACTCCATTGACGTCGATTCAACGTCGACTCGACGTTAGTGTTCTCGTTGGATGGGGACGTCTTTAGGACGTCCAACCCAGTGAGAAATAATTCGTCGATCGATGTCGAAACGATGTCGAATCGACATCAACACCGCCAAATTGATGTCGACGTCATTTCCCGCAGTTCTAATAGGCGTCCCTTGGAAATTTATGCTGTATAAGTAAGTTACATGCATACAGTACAGTACATTGGTAAACACGCATGCATATATTGTGCATACATGTATATTGTCATACAATTATATGAAATTGCAAGGTTTTTCCGCATGCAGGCGTGTTGTACTAAATAAATACACCCGCACAGACCTCCTTAATTCTTCGTTATCTCTGGAGACGTACACGCGCGCGCACGTTTGTGTGGTTTCATCTTGCTTACCTCATTAAGGTGTTTTTCAGAATACACATGATTGACGATATCAGTTACTGCTACAATTGTACTAATCTCCCTATAAAAGTAATACAGGTGTTTACATTTTATAAAAACGTATCTATTATTAACAGCAGTACTTGTTTATAAAGAAAAAAATGATTACTTGGGCATTATTTTCGTAATAAACATCAAATTTTTCGTGAGGATGGAATTGTTAGCATGCTTTGCAATAAATAAATGGAAAATGTTTATATTACGACGGATACGGCTAGTCTCTCGCTTTGCATGTTGGGAATATTTCTGTAGAGACAGAAAGTATGTGAGGACAACTGAAGGATTTCGAGTACAAGGTAAGTACGGTAAAAGTTCTCCTGTCAACCACATTTCCTTTGAAATGATCCGCTCAGAAATATTTGCCTCTAATAAACCTTGGCAATATGTCCATTCCTTCCATCCTGGTGAAATTCTATGAATTTGGGAACAGTTATAAGTATATACGTTAGATATATGGAAACGTAGCATATTGCTATTTTGGTGCAAAATTTTTTGTTAAACATGACACTAATATCCAGCTAATAACCAATGTCTTTTATTAAATATAACGTACACTTGTTTAACGAATGAATATAGGGAAACTTACATGTTTGATGAAGGATCTTCGAAATGTAATAATAATTTTTTTCTGGCCATTATCAAACATGGACCATAATGCAAAGTACATGCCCATCTTGAGATTTCTTCTTTTAAACATTTAATAAACACATTCTCCGGTACGGATCTTAGTATCTCAAAAGAGTTATCCAACAATTCTTTTAATGCTTGCTAAAATAATATGAATTTTATATTCTCTCGTTCTTATGAGAAATCTAGTGTATGTGCATCGGTTTAATCTTAAATAAATTTTGTTTTCTTTAATTAATATCGATATACAAAAAATCTCTGCAAGAGGTAAGGGGGCGGAGAAAGAATGAAGGAGAGGGAGGAGGGGAGAAAAGAAATAGAAGAGGAGCGGGAGTCGTTTAATTCTGTATCCTGTAAAACGGCAGAATAAAGTTTTCTATATTCTACACGTGTGTGTGTAGACATAAAGACGATAATTTACATACCACCTAATGTTTAGTTATTAAATAAAATATGATCTTTTTACCATAACGATGAAAGAAGTTGAGTTGTGAGTGTTGAGGAATGACATTCCATAAAATGGAATAACATTCGATATATATTCGAATATTTTGATCATAGGATACCACGCAACAAAATCTGTCTCTTGCCGTAAGTAACTGGAGAGTTTCCAGAACGTAGAAATATTAAGCTGGTGTGTTATCACGAAATAAAACGCGTCGTCAATCATTTTTGCACGATTGATGGCACTTATATTTTTATATGCTAATGAATTCAAATATTTTGCAATTTGGTCCCAGGTTCTACCATCATATTTAACACGATAATATCCTAGCAATACGGAAATTTTATTTAATTTACGCTCGATTAAATTAAAAGCAATTAATTAATATGTTCTTTTGATTCTTCATATTAAAAACAACAAAAGAAATATATCGAGAATGATTACATATTAAATCTATTACTTTATTTTATTATTAATTTTTAAAAATTCAATGAATATTTTTACATGTAATACTTTGTGACTTTGAATAAATTTAAATATGCAAAAAGTAATATCAAACAATAAGGTTTGTATATTGTATTCATAGAAAATACAAAAACCGAATGTCCGGAAAATAATTATATATATATATATATATATATATATATAAAACATGTATAATAATTTTCTTGATGATTATTTACCACCATGCAGAATGTCGATCACTGTCACCCTATTATCTATGTTGTACTGAGAATATAAAGACGGTTCTTGCGGTGTCAGCTCGGTTAGCGTACTGCGTAATAAATAAAGCTTTGCATATTTGTATGTAGACATCCTGCATTTACCATAACTCATGTTCAAATTTTGCGTTAATTTTCCGCCGTAAGCATGTATTTGTGTGACAGTCATGATAGGATAATGTCTGTAGTCTATCCAAGATGAGAAATCACGCACAGAACATTGCATCCACTGAATTTGGCGGTTTTGTGTGGACCAAAATTGTTGAGGAACCACTGAGTTAAATAGGCTAAATAAAAAATTGTAAGGTATAATCAATTAAATGTACGAATATAAAAACTTATACGTTATGTACATAATACTGTGCACCGTCACATAATAAAATATATAATATGTTGTACAATCTACGTATATTAGATGTTACACTTTATAATCTTCATATTATAACTTGAAAGAACTAAAAGTTCCATACATGATCTTGAATTAAATTTTGTTAAATTAAATTTAATACGGAATGATATAATTCTGTTAATGATGTAAAAATTAAAGAAATAGAAAAACGACGTGTACAAAAAAGTCGAAAAATAGAAAACGAAAGTAGAACAAATATAATGGAATGAGATATATTTTATTTTCAATTTAGAAGAAAGCAGGATTTGAAATGAGGACTTGAAACTTATAGAATTTGTACAGAAACATTGCATACGTGAGAAAACAAAGAAAATGTTTACGAAAATTTAGTAGTATTAAACTAATGGTATTAGCTTGTATAACATCCTTGTAGTAATTATTATATTAATATTAGTTGTTACTCACTACTTGTTTAAATATACGTCGACGCCTTTTCGTAATACATGATCGAACATCATATTTTTGAGCATCCGTAAAACAATAGGTACTGTGACAATTGATGTAGAAAACATTATTGAATATTAAGTACGTAAGACTCGGGTGTGTTACACACAAATTCGAAGAAATACGAGGGCTCAAAGCCGTGACAGAGTTTAGTATCTATCTAAGTTTATTATAACTTGGTGAAATTAATGAATATGTTTAAATTTTAAATTTCTATTTTTACATTTCTTTTCATTTAACTTTTTATATATTCATTTTTGTAAATTTAAATATATTTGATTGTTTAATTATAACGTTACCTTTCATGTAACGAGGAAAATTGAAAAGAGAATTGATCTCCGATAGATTTACTTGTGGGGGATTCATATCAAAATGAGAATCTAAATTGAGAGCTTCGTATTGATTCCGAACAATGAAGAAATCCATTATTCCATAATTATTGAAAGCCTAGAAACGAAGTTTTATATAATATTTACAATGTTCAATATTAAATCAAAAGGTATATGTCTGCGTTATGGTCTATTGTGTGATGTTGCATACTGTACACGGTTCTTTCAAAGAAGTCTTTCTACTTTCTATAATTACAAAGTTAAAAACAACGAGAAATAATAAGTTACTATACAATTGAGAAATTATATGCCGATTTAATTAGTGGACATGGTTTTTCCGAGATATGTTTGTATGTAACTAGTTTAAATATGTATTTAAAATTTGAAATTCTTTTAATATAGATTTTGTAAAAGTTAGAAAGTCTAACCTTTCATCTAGCAAAAGTTTGTAGAAACAAAAACGAATTAAAACTTTAGAAGATAAATTTAATCCTATTCTGATATTAGTAAATGTATTATAAAGACCTGAGCGGTGGCTTCTTCTCCAAATATAGTAGCGAGACCGTCGTGTAACCACAAATAAGACCATCGTAATGGACTAACTATGTTACCAAATACTTGATATGCTATTTTATGTGCTATACAACGTGCAACTTCTATTTTGTGCATGACTGGATCCAATTGCTTATTGTAGATAACATCTGCTTCCCTAAAAGTTATTATAATTTGTACAATTATATCACACGTAAAATATGAATGTTTCCCCTTAAATACCTACACATTTTAAAATTAATTTTAAAAATAATATATAGAGAAATTCGTTTTTTTCTTTCCCCTAAAGTTCGATAGTCGTATAATATTTTATATATAATAATATTCACATTTAATATTACATGGTCTGATAATTCATCACAATTAAGTATAAAATATAAATTATTATATCCGGAAATTTCGTATATCGTATATACAAATAATTTTGTCAGTTGATAGGTTGTTGCTTCTTCTGAATTATGTATTACCTATAAAAGATGAGTCCCCACTTCGATGTACCATCTTGTGGAAAATTTGGAATTACAAAATGATCTATTTTTGGAATTATCTGTAGTTCTCTAAATTGGGAGTTCATGTACGACGTAATATTTTCTATAACATGCATTGCGAATGAGAAATGCTCTTTTGAATATTTTCTGCACCACAAAGAAATATTTTTATTAATGCGAATTGGGGTAAAATTCGTTACTGTAATCGCAACATGATGAGTGGAAATTAGAGGTGTAGTATAGAAGTGTGTCCATATCATATTATCAAACCAATCCTCAGTATAGCGTCTCGGCATATTGGATAAAGCATAAGAATTACCGAAGTGCTTTACAGAGATGTCAAAAGTGGTTCTTAATTGCGGATCGTCCCAACAAGGAAATAATCGTCGTGCTCCAATTGTCTGAATGTTTGTTGCGATCACCCATCTATCATATTTCGTTAAATTGTTATTATTACCGACAAATCATTTCTCACTGGGACCGGATCAATTTATAAGAAAAATAGAAGGAATAATTATCGACAATATTACAATGTGTTGATCCTAGTTTCTACTCACTCTCTATCTCTGCCTTTGGTTACGTAGGAAGATTTGAAGAAGCCTTCGGCACTGTCATAGTTTCTTACACCGGTAAAATGCATTTTCCAAGTGTAAATTCCAGGAAATATTGTATCTTTGGAGCGAAAGACTAAAGTGTGCGGAGTAGGCTTTGCATATATCTGCAGTACATGAACTAATTCATCTCTTGTAAATAACATCGTTTCGAGATTAGTTACCAAACTTATTGCATCTATTTGTATGGATTTTGTAGATTTTAAGATATTTATAGTTATAGCGCATTCTCCCTCAACCCACGAATCGGGGTTATAGTTTTTTGATATCGTCTCATTGGAATCGTACATGTTGTAGTAAGGAATGAGCTTTATGGTGTAGTGGATCGGTATCGTTGTGTTCGTAGATAGACGAAAGTCGGGAGTGCCGAAATTATTCTGCGATGTGCCACCCGCAGAAATAGTTATCGCAATGATGAACATTAAAGTGCTATGTCTGTTTTTCAGATTCATGATGCGTCAGCTTTTGTCCCAAGAACTTGTAGGAACGGTTACGTCTATT